ATAAATTAGCAACCATAAGCACTTGCGGGGTAACGTGACTATGCATATTACCATATCCAGCTGCAGTGCTACAGGGAAACACAAGGTGGCAGTGTGCTCTCAGAAATTCTCATAAATCCAGCGTGGCTGGTGATGCTTTGCAGTAAACAGGATGAATTGTCCCACGAACCCGTTTTGGTTTGGTTTGGTTTTTTATTTTTTTGGTGAGGTGGCAACTACGATGGACCAACAGCAACACACTCCTGTGTCCAAACAAGCTCTTTCTCGATATTTATTACTTGCCAAACTTTAAATTCAAGACCGCTTGAGTGTGTATATGTAATCAGGATGTGTGTAACGTTAGGAGGTATATAAATTTAGAAGATATATAAAATAAGGATTATAAAATTTGTATATTAGATATATGCAAATTAGAGTATGTATAATAAAATGAAGATATGTATATATAGCTAGGATATATTTTAAAATTAGGATATATAGAAAGAATTAAGATAACTACATGTGCATACATGATATATACACATTCCAATTTTACATTTATATATCTCCTAAGTGTGTGTATGTATATATATTCTAATTTTAGGTATATATTTAATAAGGATATATAATTAAGCTATATATAAAATAACCTATTATATATAATTGATACATAATCACATATATAGTCTATTAATATTAATAATATATAATTTATTTATTTATAGTTAGGGAACTTCTATAAAATAAGATGTATTAAGATATGTATATCATTATAATATATATTTAATTTAGGATATATATAATTAGACTATATAGATATAATTGGGAGATATACATTTTTGGATATATATATTTAGGATATATATGTATAATTAGGTTGAGCCATAGGAAATTGCAGATTGCAGCAAATATTTGACTATTTTTTACCTACAAAAATGGCAGTTTTGTATGGTTGAACCTCATATTTCAAATGGGCCAAAACAATTATATCTTTTGGAAAATAAAGCTCATATTGTACAGTATTTTTCCCCAGAATCTTATGTTCTCAGTTTCTAGTTCTAGTCAATCTGTCAACGATTTGAAAAACTGGTCCCTGATCATACTAACGAGCAGCTATAAGAAGCAGCCAAGAAGCAATGATTGTTTTTGCTGTTCCCATGTGGGAAGTTACTGGGTGGTGTTTGTGGGTAGGGAAATTACTCCACTTTCCCATTACATGGGAAGGGAAGGAGGTCACTGAAAGTTGACAGATTCTGTAAGAAGTCAGGGACTGGGACATCAGGATGGAGTCTGGAAGGAGTGTGAGAGCACCTCAGGGTTATCCACCTGCACCCAGATAATGCATAAAAGCTTTGCCTCCTTACAAGACAGGTGAGACGGTGGAACCCGGAAAAGGAATGTTCAGATACATTGCAGGATGAAAAGCAAAGTAGCCTGAAGGGTCACAGAGGAAGCAATTAGGAAGGAAGGACACTTGGAGAACATGGACACACACAGCAGAGATGGGACCTCATGGAAGGAACTCAACTCACCAGGCTTGGCATCATTAGCATAAGGCACACTCCCCCGGAGCGTTGGCAGTTCAAGGCCCTGGAACCATGGTCAAGAGTCTTGACTGGGAACAGGCCTCGAGCTTCTCATGCCTTGTTTTTAGTCTAGAGCAGTGGTTCTCAATTGTGGTTTCTGCACCAGCAGCATCAGCATCACCTGGAAACCTGTCAGAAATGCAAATTTGAGCCCTCCCCACGTCCCTCCGTCCAGCCCCTCCCCAGAGATACTGAATCAGAGGGCCTGGAGGTGGAGCCAAGCTCCGAGTATGAGCAGCACCCAACCCAGATGATCCAGATTCAGCTAAAATATGAGAAGCACTGCTCTAAAGTCTCTTCCCACCACTTCCCCACAGGCAGACCCAGTGAATCCTATCCTCCCAGTACACTGGGCTCGATACTCCTGCCTCTGGTTGAGCCTGAAACATCCCTCTCTTCCTCTCTGCTTTGCTCTCATGCTGCCTTTGGGACTCAACTCAAGCATCCCTGCCTCTGGGACGCGGGGCGAGACTCTCCAGGCCGAATTAGAGGCTGCTCTTCTGGCCCTCCCAGCCCTGACTTACCTCCTCTTAGCAATTATCAAGTGATGTTTGAACTGTGAGCTTACGCATGTCCTACTCACTACAGTGTGAGCTGTTTTGGTCATTTTGTTTTAATCCCCAGTGTCTGGCCAACAGAATTCTTAATATTTGTTGACTGAAGTAATAAATTACTGTTACCGGGCTGGCACCTTTAAAAAGTAATACTACTACTACTTTTAATCTAATAGCAATAGTAACAGTGATAATCTCTTCCACCTATTGCATCCCGGAGCAGTGCAACCTCCATAGCCCCTTGCAAGCCTGAATTTCAGAAGTATGCCTTGCTGCTCTGACTATGAAGCCGTGTGCAGGAAGGGAGCCAAGAAATTTAAGAATCAACGGTGTGGGGCTTCCTGAGCAGGGGTGTGAGTACTGACTGGTGTCTTCTCAAGCTCACCCTTCTCTGGTCTCTCCTAGACATCTGGGGGGTGGGGGAGTGCTCCCATTCTGCAGGATGAGGGCATTGTGACCAAGCAGCTCTGAGTCCTTAACATTGGACAAATTCTACTGTGGTAAATGTCACAGACCAGGCCCAAGGTGGAGGTGCTATTGGACTTCCTGGCAGACATTCCACAGAGACAGCTGTCAGGAGGCTCCACCACCAAACTCTCGAGATTTTCTGGATAATTCATGATTGCAGAATACAATGTCAATATGTAAATATCAATTTGTCAAAAGATGTGCAAGGCCTGTGCACTATGAAACTGCTGAGATAGACTGAAGAAGACCTGAACAAATGCAGAGTTTATGTGTTCATGGATTGGAAGACTCAATTTTGTTAATATTATTGATATTTTGAAGCTTCAATTTGTTTTAACCCTGCCTTATCTCACTTTCTCGTCTCTGTCTCTTCAATGTGTGCCTGGCACAAAGCAAGCATTCAGTGCTCATTGAATAAATGAATAGGAAATCGGATTAAATGTATAGGAAATAAATGAATAAGGACAGGGAGGGATCACAACTACTTAGGAGTGCTAGAAAAGGCTTCCTTCAAGATGGACTGGGAAGTCTGTAAGCTGTGATGAAAGGAGGACTGTTAGACGCAGGTCCTCTTATGAGTGAGTAAAACCACCTTCATCTGCTGTAGCTTGGACCAAGTTTGTGCAAGACAGTGACCGCAAACACCTTGGAAACATGGCCAGAGCTCATGTTCTGAAGGACCTTGTACTCCGTGCTAAGGAATTTATATTTCATTCTTCAGAATCGAGATGGGGGAGGGCACATTGAAAATATTTAGTAGGGGAGTTCACTCATTCACATTTTAAAAATACTGGTTGAGCATCTGCTCTGGACCAAGGCTTGTGTTCGATACTGGGGTAAAATTGGTAATGACAGAAACCATCCCTGCTTCAATTTGTGAAAGATGATATGAGTGGAGCTATATCCAAATAGAGCCAGAGCAGCCATTTCAGGGGAATCGCTTTGCACGTCTTGTTTCCTCTATCTTCCAAACTGGACCAAACTGCCAACATTCCAAGAAGTCAGTAAGGACAAGAATAACCTGTTTGTAAGGGCTGATAAAATTGGACTTAGCTGATAGCAAGTACAAATCTAGCCTTTTACCTGATGACCAAATCTCAAGCCAATCTATGAAAAACAAACCCAGCCTTACCTCAACTAGCACCAATCAACTCCTCCTTATTGCAACCTACCTCATCTTCCTCCTTCTTCCTCATAAAAACCCTGAGCCTCTCTCCTGTAATGGGAACACATTTGGGTTTCTACTCAAATCTGTCTCCCGAATTGCAATCCTTGAGAGCCCTTTTTGCTTTTCTTGAAGTTTATGCCTCTTGCTTGTTGACAAGCTACAAAACTGTAGTAGCTAACCATGAGAACCACCTTTGTACCAGGCAGAGTCAAATTCTTTACCACAGACCACCAAGATAGTTATTATTATTAACTTTACTAAATGTGAAGAAACAGTTAAATTAAGAAATGAGAGTCATTTAAACTGCAGGCCAACTGAGTAAAAAAATCTTTTTATGAAGATACAATTAAGAAAAAGTTAAAAGCACACACTTAAAAGGTACAGTTTGATGAGTTTTGACAAACGTACACATTTTGGCACCACCACCACCAAGATATAAAACATTTCCGTCACCCCAAAGGGTTCCCTTGTATCCCTTCCCAACCATTGATGATTTCTAACATTAATTATTATATTTGTCTTTCCTGGTGTTTCTTATAAACAAAATCAGGCAGTATGTACTTTTGTGTCCTGTTTCTTTGACTCAGCTTGAATTTTGAGTTTCATCCATATTGCGGCATCTCGTTCATTTTTAGTATTGCTGAATTCAGACTTTTAAGGGAGAAAGACATTAATCATATGTTAACATGATTAATTATTAATCATATAATGTTATTAAGTAATTACAATGGCATTAAGTTAACCTAAGCATAAGTACAAGTGAAAATATATGACCTTGTTTGTTGACAATTCAACCAATACCAAACACTAGGGGAGCTATATAGGGTAATGGTTGAGTTTGTGGAAAATAAACGTTATAAAAGAGTATCTCCAAAGAATCCTATGGCCTATTTTTCTTCCTTTATGTTTTAAAATCAGTCAAGACGATGCTGGAAAGCGCTCTTCACGTCCTCCCTTTACACTTTGTCGAAGAGCAGGATCAGTAACGCGCATGCGCGTCTCTTGCCAAGTGTTGTAGCAACAGCCTCCAAACACCTTGTCACCTCCGCGCCCACGGCGGAGACGTCCGCCGCTCTGATGGGGCGCTGCTTTCGCCCGCCCAATCCCGGGGGCCGTGGCGGTCACGTGCGCGCCGGCACGCAGCAGGCTGGGCCCCGCCCACCACCCGCGTACTCCCGCGAGCCTGGCCTTGGCCGCCCCAGATCCAGACACCCCTGAGGGCCAGGCTGCGCCTGCGCAGTGCGGCCGGTGGGCGGGGCTGGGGATGCGGTGGCTGCGAAGTGAGGCGGCCGGCTGGCTGGGAGCTAGAGCCGTGCTGAGGGGGCGCGGCGTCACGGCGATCCCAAGCCGGGAAGGCCCGCGTTCCTGGCTCAGCCGCCGAAAGTAAACTTGGCTGCTCCTCTCGTGGGGCGCTCCCGAGTCCTCGTCCCGGACCCCCAGGCGCACCGCGGTCGGCGAGGAGCCTTCCTGAGTCAGGGCCTCGCTCCCTTCCCCGGCGCGGGGCCTCGGCGCCATGGACGCGACGGCGCTCGAGCGGGACGCCGTGCAGTTCGCCCGGCTGGCGGTGCAGCGCGACCACGAAGGTCGCTACTCCGAGGCGGTGTTTTACTACAAGGTAGGGCCGGGGACCGCGGCGCCTCGAGAGGCCAAGGCGCGGGGGTCAGGGGCCGAGGGGACCGGGCCCGCTTGGCTTCGTTCTCCCTCCTCTTGCTCTCCTTTCCAGGGGGCGGAGACCCCGGCCGCAGGGGCCAGCCCCGTCGCACGCCCCCGGCGCCTGCCGCGCTCGGGAGCTCCAAGCGTCTCGTTGGGGTCTCGGCCGCGGACGCCCGCCGTTGAGCTGCCTCGGGCGGCGCTAGTTAGGTAGGGGTCGCCGAACAGCCAGCTAGTTCTGTCACTTGGCTCTGATTTATGGCTCCTGGGACGTAGTCTCTGATATACATTAAAATAAGGCATGTTCGTTGAAGAAAATAAGTTAGAAAGTAGATTAAAAAAGAATGAAACGTCTCTTATCCTAATATCTGATGTATATCTTTGTACTTGTTTTTCTACGCATTTGTGTGTACACACCTTTTTTTAAAAAACCAACTTGGATCGTACTATTTACACCATTTTTAACCTGTTCTTTTCATTTGAACGTTTAAGAAATCATTGTCTACTTCTGTAGTATCTTATTAACAGTAGAGGCATCGTATTCCATTATGTGGATGTCCCTTGACTTATTTTTAAACTCTATTGGCTATTTAGGTTTATTCTGGCCTTTCAGCATCATAAATCGTGGTACGATTAGTATCCTTATAACTAATGCTTTACACATTTCTTTGCTATTTCTTTTGGATAAATTCCTGGGGGCAGAATTATTAAAGAGTTTGAGCTTCCGCAGTCCACCCTCTGCCGTCCAGTCCCGAGGACTTGCAAACACACCCCTCGAGCTCCAGCCGTGCCCTCTGCTTCCTTGTGGAGGTAGCTGTATCCTCATGATAGTGTCACCTTTTCTTTTAGAAAGAGTGTCAGACTGATGATAACAGTAGTAGTAATTTTTTCCCATAAACGTATGTGCTATTAGTATATGTGGTTTTTCTCCAATTAATATTTTATTGCCTTCATTTTATAATCTACATTTAGACTTGGTGTGTTTCAGAATCTTTCCTTTTGCACTTTTTTGGGGCAATTTCCTGAAGGTGGTCTTTCTTTAAAAGTGAAATTCTGTGTTTTGCTTTTGTGAAGTAACCAATAAATATTCATGGGTTAAAGTAGTGCTGTATAAAATAGCTTTTTCTAAAGCAAAAGAAAATGCTAGGCAGTGCCTCTTGTTTTGCTATAGGATTACATGCATGTCATTATGAAGAATTTTTTTATCCTTCAGAAAGAAAAGTCCTGCTTCTATTTACTATTTTTATTTATTACTTTCTATTTACTATTTACTTATTTATTTCTAGGAACTATTTAGATCTGTATAAACTTTATCAGATATTTAGTGTTTTCTGTCTTGGTACTGTTCTATAAGAGATTCCTTAATTGTTAGTCACTTTCAAATATAAATGAAATGTGTAAAGTAAAATTGATATCAGCAATTTCAAAAATTGGCTTTATTTCTTTTAAGCAAGATGATTATTTGAAAATCGATATTTACACAAAAGATAACTGAAGGGGTAAAATATGTATTTATGCACATGTATGTTACATCAGTTTACTGAAGTTAAACGTGGCTATTAATGTATTTAGGTAATGATGGTACGGAAGATAAAATATGTAATGTTTACATGTAAAGTTATATTTTCCTCCCCTGCAATATCTGAGTTACAGAATGTGAGGAAATCTTGTCTTTTCTGTCCCCACAGCCTTTAGACTGAATTTCCATTTGGATCAAATGGATTTGATTTTTTTTGGAGCGGGGGGAGGAAGACTGGCCCTGAGCTAACATCCGTGCCCATCTTCCTTTACTTTCTATGTGGGACGCCTACCACAGTGTGGCTTGCCAAGCGGTGCCATGTCCCAACCTGGGATCCGAACCGGCAAACCCCGGGTTGCCGAAGCTGAACGTGTAAACTTAACCACTGTGCCGCCGGGCCGGCCCCCAAATGAATTTGATTTTAAGTTTAGTGAAACAACAGCTGCTCCAATAACTGGATTCAAAAAGCAATGCTCAGAAGAGGGCATCTTTGGATCCACACAGTTAGGCATGAGGCTCCAAGAAGTGCACATGCTTGGGTTACCACAGAGAAGGTGGTGTCACTTGGAGAAATCTCTGTGGTCCTTCTCGGTGGTAGCGTTGGTACCTCCCTGGAATGGTGATGAGATTGGAGCTTTCCTCACCAGCCACAGCACAACTGGCTGTGGAAGTTAGAGAATAACTGGAAGATAAATCCAGGTTTTCTTAACTAAAACAAGTTGATTTCATAGGACTGAAATCTGTGTCACCTTGTGACAATATTTTCTGTGGAGAAAAAGATTTTTTTTCCCGCTGGGAGACATTTAACCATTATAACTTCTTGTAATCCGTCCTCGACATGTAATTTTATTGGTTATTATTATCTGTTCTAATACTTTTAAGGTTCAGTTCACCTTTTTAAAGTGTATAATTTTAAATCTGACCTATTGCATAAAGAAAACAGAAAACATATAAACCACAGCTACTCTAAGAAAATACTTATAATCGGTCCCTCCTATTTGAGTTTGTAAATTTTCAACAGTATGAGAAAATTGAAAGCATTGAAAACTGAAGAAAAGGTATTGGAGGATTATATAACTCATGCATTTTTGTGAGAAAATTACTGATATCTTAAAGACATTCTTGTTTTGTCATTCGTAGAAACCAGTAGTGAGTTAGAAAGTGGTCAAGAAAATTCAAATTGTAATTCACCTATTAGATTTCTTTGAATTCTTTTTTATTTCTAGGAAGCTGCACAGGCTTTAATTTATGCTGAGATGGCTGGATCAAGCCTAGAACATATCCAAGAAAAAATAAATGAGTATCTGGAGAGAGTCCAGGCTTTACATTCAGCAGGTTAGTAAAGGACTACTGAACTTGTCACCACATTTTTTATCTTCTCTCCGCATCTTACTTTTCCCCCTATGTTTCCCTTTCCTTTTTGTGTTCATCTTGGATCTCAATCCTCACTTTCTTGCTGCTCATGCCTCTTTGGTAATCATGTCTTCAAAAGTCATAATGTGGAAATAACTGATAGATCTGTGAAGAGGAACCTTAGAGATAATATAGTGCACTCTGCTAACTTCCCAGAGGTCCAGACACCATGGATTATCTACATTCAAACAGTGTATCATGGCAAAGTCAGGATTAAGACCCTGTTAAAGTCTTCTTTTGAAATGTCTGTCACATGCCCTCTCCTGATGTTAAGGTGAAATTTCTACTCCTCTTCAGTGTTTAATGACTTTGACAGTAGGTCCGTGGTCTTTTCTATATCGGTACCCTCAGCCTCAAGACTTTAGCTAACCTCTTTTTTTAAACCATATCTTGGAAAAGCAACATGTAAGCAGAGACCTGGAACAACTTGTATTTATTTTTGTAAACAGCATGGCAGATGCTATGAAACAAGTACACACAGGCTTAATGATCACAGTTTTGTTAGTTAGAGGTAAGTGGTTCCTGTCAAAATCTGTTCAGGTGTGTAGAAAAGAAGATGGTTACCTATTGACATTTTGTTTGAGGAATCTCACTAAGGGCTCTTTTACAAGCAGCTTAGAGGAATCTTTGTTCAGCATTGCCTAATGGACTTTGTGCTACTTTCCACACTCATTCTAAATTGATACGAGCAGTCATAAGCGCACCTTTAGGATAAAGATTTGATCATTGAATTTCTTATTATGACAGTCCTCTTAAAGACAAGGTAGTTTGGTTTAAGACAGTGCCCAGAAATTGCATGTATTGAAAAGGGACTGCCTGTGTATCAGGGCCTTGCTTAATCCAGAGTTATACTGATTCATATATTCAGAGTACCATGTCATTCACAGGAACCTCATTTTCCCAGCTAAGTAAATGAAGTCCTTAAATTCAATTGCCGATAATGAGAAAGCTTGTTTCAGAAATAGTGTTTTCAAATAAAGTTATCTTTTAAGTAGGAGAAGTATTGCATGCATTGAAAAATGCACTGCCTGTGTATCAGGATCTCACTCGATACAAAGTTATAGTAATCCATGTATTCAAAATATGTGTAATTCAGAGGAGCTTCATTTTCCCAGCCAAGTAAATGAAGTTCTTAAATTTATAAATGTGATATTCAGGCACAGAATGAGACAGCCCCAATCTCTTGAAGAATAAAGACTTGCCAGTGAAACAGAAGTAAAGTTCAAAAGATTTTTAAAGTATAGCATACTTTATTTTGCCAGCTTTTTGACCTATTTTGTTCAAAAACTGGAGTGTAATCTGTAGAGAATTAAATAGTTTCCATAATTATTGTTTTAAGCAGAGGAATTTTTTCAATTAAAAACCTTGTTCAGAACCCCAGTTTTTAAAACAGAGTCTGCTGACAGTCAAGAGACTTGAGAGGTGAGTTGACTTTTGGATGGGAAGGTGCCGCAGGTTGAAATTCACCAGTCTAGTCCAAGGGGCCCAGGGCTTGGAACCAGAGGATCTAGGCTGAGTTCCTGCCCTTCGCTTACAGCTTTTAAACCTTAGGCTAGGTTGGTCATTCTCAACTGGGAGCGATTTTGCACCTAGGGAGGCGTTTGGCAGTGTCTGGAGGGATTTTTGGTTTTTACCCTTGGGGGAGGGGAGGAGTATTCTGCTGGCATCTAGTTGCATAGAGGTCAGGGCTATTGCTAAAAACCCTACAATGCATAGGACAATCCACAGCAAAGAATTATCCAGCCAAAATTGTCAGTACAGTCATGGCATCACTGAATGACAGGGATATATTCTGAGAAATGCATCATCAGGTGATTTCGTCATTGTGTGACCATCACAGAGTGTACTTACACAAACCTAGATGGTATAACCTACTAAACACCAAGACTACATGATCCTAATCTTATGGGATCACTGCTGTATATGTGGTCCGTCATTGACTGAAACATCGTTATGCAAAGCATGACTAGTGCCAAGGCTGTGAAACCCTGGGCTAGATATTTTAACGTTTTTGAGCTTTGGTATCTTCATTTTATAAATGGGATTAGTACATACTTCAGACAGATAGTCCTGAGGGTTAAAGTTTTAAAAAGATAACCACATACTTTTTTTTTTTTGAGGAAGATTAGCCCTGAGCTAACATCTGCTGCCAATCCTCCTCTTTTTTCTGAGGAGCATTGGCCCTGAGCTAACATCTGTGCCCATCTTCCTACCACAGCATGGCTTGACAAGTGGTACGTAGGTCCACACCCGAGATCCGAACCAGTGAACCCCGGGCCGCCGAAGCAGAACATGTAAACTTAACCGCTGAGCCACTGGGCCAGCCCGATCACCACATACTTTTAAGAGACAAACAAATATAAAGCTTTTTTTTTTTTAAATAATATCTTTATTGAGATATAATTCACATACCATAAAATTCACCTTTTTAAGGTATATAATTCAGTGGTTTTTAGTATATTCCCGGAGTTGTGCAATCATCACCACTATCTAATTTTAGGACATTTTTATCATCCCAAAAGAGCAGTCACTGCACATTCCTCCCCTCTCCTAGCCTCTAGCTACCACTAATCTATTTTCTGTCTCCATGAATTTGCCTTTTCTGTGCGTTTCGTGCAAGTGGAATAATCCAGTATGTGGCCTTTTTTTTCTGGCTTCTTTCATTTAGCATAATGTTATCAAGATTTATCCGTGTTGGAGCATGTCTCAGTACTTCATTCTTTTTTATGACTAAATAATATACTATTGTATCAATATACCACATTTTGTTTATCTGTTCATCAGTTGATGGACATTGGCTTGTTTTCACATGTGGACGTTACACATAATGCTAAGAACATTTGTGTATACATTTTTGTGTGGATATACGTTTCTTAGTTCTTTTCCATATATACCCAGGAGTGGAGTTGCTGAGTCATATGGTAGCTTCATGTCTAACTTCTTGAGGACCTGCTAAACTGTTTTCCAAAGTGGCTACACCATTTTACAATTCCACCAGCAATGTGTGAGGCTTCCATTTTCTTCATATCTTTATCAACACTTATTATTTTCTGTCTTTTTGATTTTAGGCATTCTAGTGGGTGTAAAGTGGCATCTTGTGGTTTTGATATGCATTTCCCTGCTGGCTACTGCTGTTGAGCATCTTTTCAGGTGTCAGTTGACCATTTAAATATCTTCTTTGGAGGAGTGGCTATACAGATCCTTTGTCCATTGTATAAGTTAGGGTTCTCCAGAGAAACAGAACCAATAGGATGTATGTAAATAAATTTGTTATGAGGAATTGGCTCATGTGATTATAGGGGCTAAGACATCTTATTAACTGCCATCTGCAAGCTGGAGACACAGGAAAGCCAGTATTGTAGTTCAGTCCAAGTCCAAAGGCCTGAGAACCAGGCTAGCTGGTGCAAGACCCAGTCCTGAGGGCAGGAAAAGACCAGTGTCCCAGCTGAAGCAGCTAGGCAGAGAGGGCAAATTCTCCCTCCCTCTGCCTGTTTGTTCTGTTCATCCCTCAATGGATTAGATGATGCACACCCACGTTCAGGAGGGCAGTCTGCTTTTACTGCCAATTGAAATGCTAACTTCATTCAGAAACGCCCATTTTGAAGGACCCAGAACTCATGTTTGGCCAGATAATCTGGGCATCCTGTGATCCAGTCAAGTTGACGTTAAATTGATGATGTAATTAATCATTACACCCATTTTTTAAATTGGAGTTGTCTTTTTATTGTTGAGTTGTAAGAAATCTTTGTATATTCTTGATACAAGTCCCTTATAGGTATATACTTTATATTAAAAACAAATAGAAACACTTAAGGAACAGTAAAAATATCTGATTCCTTAATCTGGACCCAGATGAATAAGAAACAGCAGGAATTTTATCATCAAGCCCTAGTGTATTACACAATTATTATCTGTACTGAAAAAATTTCTTTTTAATTACCTTAAAACATAATTGAGTTTATTATCATTTTTCAAGTTTTTGTTTTGTTTTAGGGAGGTGGTATTTGAGGAGAACTCCTGTGTTTTATTTTTTAAATGAAGGAAGTATTGGCATGGAGAGAAAGAAATTCAGGGAAAACTTTTTTTGAATAAATAACACATTTTTGATATTCCTCATCTCTGGTGTTTATCATGTGATGAGTTAAACAAGTAGGGACATTTTTTTTTGGCCTTAAAATTAAGATTGAAAAGAGAAAGGGAGACTTAGTCATTTTTTTAAGGATTTTTTGACCTTGCTAAGCTTTTTAAATGAAGGATTATAGAATTTTGGTAAAGAATGACTTAAATGTGTTAAAATAGTATTTTGCTCCATGGAGATAGAGATAGATAGATAGATAGATAGATATATTTTGGTAATATTTCTTTTATGTGGCTTTTTCCTATCTAGTTCAGTCAAAGAATGCCGATCCTTTGAAATCAAAACAGCAGTTGGATTTAGAACGTGCCCATTTCCTTGTTACACAAGCTTTTGATGAAGATGAAAAAGGGAATGTTGAAGATGCTATAGAATTGTATACAGAAGCTGTAGATCTCTGTCTGAAAACCGTATGTATAGCTACTAGTTAAATTTAGTGGGATTATGCTGAGAAATTTCTTCCCTTACTAGCAAATTTTACTTAACGGTTCCTTAAAGAAAAAAATTATTGTATCATTGTAAGTGTAATTAAGCTACTCCTCATTAAAAGATGATGAAGAGTAGAAAATTAATAACAGATTTTAAGACTTTGTTAAAAATTTGACAGTATTGAATCATTAGGCGATTGTTTTTTAATTACAGGTACTATTTTTTTAACCTTTTTATACCTGTATAACTAAAATCAACTTATTACAGGAAGAATTCACCATCACAAATCTATGAAATTAGAATAAACTTCCCCTTTTTTTGTTTCATTCACTGAAAAATAAGGTGGTGGTTTGGGAGAGCTTTACTAATTTGCAATGTGAAATCTATATGCTGAGTGGCTTCTGCTCCCTAAGAAGTTCTCATTAGGACTGCTAGATTTAAGGGTCATCTACTGCATTAGAGCAGTGCATCTGACAGGAGGAAATGGTGAAGTGGTAGTGAGTAGTGTTCTCAGTATTGTTCAGCAGGCTGGCTTTTTTGTCCAGGGGTCTTTTGTTCAGGGGAACCATCGAGCCTGGTGTCTGTGGGTACCTGAGACTAGAGATAAGTCCTGGTCTTCTGAGGTTCCTGCTGCTCAGCCTTCCATGGGACCGTGATTGTATAGTTGTGGTCCAGTTAGCACGTGATGTGGTCTTAAAGTTTAGCTCAGTGACGAATTTTCAGTGCTATTATTATTATTTTTTTTTTGAGGAAGATTAGCCCTGAGCTAACATCTGCTGCCAATCCTCCTCTTTTTGCTGAGGAAGACTGGCCCTGAGCTAACATCTGTGCCCATCTTCCTCTGCTTTACATGTGGGACGCCTACCACAGCATGGCTTGCCAAGTGGTGCCATGTCCACACCTGGGATCCGAACTGGTGAACCCTGGGCTGCCGAAGCGGAACGTGTGCCCTTAACCGCTGCACCACCAGGCTGGCCCCTTCACTACTATTTTAAATGATACCTTTACGGATGAAAATAAACTATCTTCTTTGTTTATTCTCTCATCATTTCAAGAAATGTAATGTGCATTGTAAATTTCTAAAATGTTATGGATCAAGCAAATTAAAAAATAATTATGCTTCATAATATCTCTCTCTCTTTCTCTTAAGTCTTCTGAAACTGCTGATAAAATTCTGCAAAATAAACTGAAACAGTTGGCTCGACAGGCACTAGATAGGTGAGTTTTGGTCACCCAAGTTGTTATTCATGATGGCAGTGTACTATGTTACTTAAATGTGACAGATTCATCTAAATGTGTGGTAGAGTTCGTAGTAACAAACCATCTCAGGTTGACTGAGAGCTAAAGCAGATAATACCTCCTTCTTCTAAGTGAATTTACTCCTCTGTAGTTCTCTGCTTTAAACTCAAGAAATAACAAATCAGTGAAGAAATGTTTTATTTAGTTTTTATTATATGTAAAACAAAAATGACTATGATATTTGAAATGGAAGACTTTCTTTTGTTGTGTAAAATCAAACTTCCAAAGAGAACTTCCACATAGCCTTCCAGAGCTACAACTAAAATTAGAGAAATTGCGAATGAGCGGGCTTATAGCCATACACATAGCCCAAATTATACAATGTGTGTAGCTCCTTCAACTGTTTGTTCAAATGTCAGCTTTTCAATAATGCCTGCCCTAACCATTCTGTTTCAAGTGGAATCTCCTCCAGTACTTTTATCCTGCTTACTGTATTCTAATATTCTTTCCCATGACTTCTACCACTTTCTAAGGTATATGAAATTTACCAGTTTATCGTGTTATTAATATCTGTGTCTCTTCCAACCCCCAACCCCCAGTGTAAGGTCTGTGAGGGCAGAGAATTTTGTCTGTCTTGTTCAATACTGTAACCAAGCACGTAGCAGAGTGCCAGACATATATATAGTATGTGCTCAGTAGGTATTTGTTCAAAGAATGAATAGATTTGAGAATTGGACCTCTTGAAGAGTGTTAGAGACAAAGGAAAAGGGTAGAAATTACATTTATAGTTATAGCATGAATTAATTAAATTACCTCTTTTTGAAGGTCCGACTGGTTGTTGTACCACCACCAGTCCCTTCTTTTTTTATTGCGGTGTGACTATCTCTCCTTTTCATTACCGTCATCTAACCTTTAGTTTGTTTGTCCAAATGCATGAGCATGTGGGCACTTGACACATAGTTATCATCTCCATTTTGTCTTATTTCACCATTCAAAATCATAGGTGATGTTTATTACCTATGTGTATAACCCATTCAGTATTCTCTAAGAGCATCCTAAGCATAGGGACATGGGTTAATCATGAGCTCCTTTGAGAATCCACTCTCTGGGAAAAATGTACATAAAATTTTTTTGCATATGATTTCAGAGTGTTCACCAGACTCCTAAAGCTCATCTATGGACCTCAGGTTCTATTTTTTACCTTCTTAGTCCTTTGACGGAACAAAGTCAAAATTCCCTTGAATATCATGAGAGGCCTTCTGTGGTCCACCCCCTGCCCCTGGTCTCATCTCCTCCTGCCTCTCGTTTACACTATTCACAGGGGCTCCATCCATTCTTTGGAAATTATTTTAATTCAGCTATGCTGTTTCATACTTCTGCACATTTGCATATGCTCTTCTCTCTACTTAGAATGTTTCCTCACTCCCCAGGTGGACTTATCTGCAGCTCAAACATCAATTCAAAAACCCTTCCCTGAGTCACCCTCTTTTCCCAATCATGAAATTAATATCATCTTCTCTGTGTTCACTCACATGTAATCCTCCCGTCCTAGCACCTGTCACTTTCGATGCAGTTGTCTTTCTTTCCCCACAAAACTATGAGCACCTTAACAGTAGGGATTGTGTTTTATATATTCTTGTATCCTCCTTACCTTGCATAGTATCTGACATGCAGTAAGTGCTCACTTACTGTTGTCAATAGAATATCTGCAAAAATACTTTAGGAGTAACTTAAGTAATTGACTAGGATGTAAGAATTTTATATACTAATTTTACATTAGGAATGCTCGACTGGTTCTTGAAGTAAATTGTGTTTTCTGGAAAGCATAAATGTGAGAAGAAAAACTAGAACCTTTTTTTCTGTACCTCTCTCTGTTACAGAGCTGAAGCATTGAGTGAGCCTTTAACAAAGCCATTATGCAAAATCAAGTCAACAAATATTAAACCAAAGCCACCTCCAGTGAGGGCACATTTTCCACTAGGAACTAATCCCTTCCTTGAAAGACCTCAGCCATTTGTAAGTCCACAGTCATGTGATGCACAAGGACAGAGATATACAGCAGAAGAAATAGAAGTTCTCAGGTAAATCAGTTTATGAGTCATTGTAACAATTTTATTAACATAATCAATGCAGGTAATTCTATTCTCATTAGGTTTGCTGAGTCTCATTCACATCTTTGTTATAGTGTGTTCTGGTGTTACTTAGTTCTAAATTGTTGTAAGTCACAACTTTTGAAAAAGTTAAAATTTGTTCTAATATATTTTAGTGTTAGCATTTCTAGTAGACATATGTGTTTCTGAAATCCTAATAACATTCTTGAGAATTGAGCGCTGAAGATTAGGGGGCAAAATAGAGCTATGGCAGACCACTCATAACCTATGCAACTTGTAACCAGGAACCTAATGGGAGAGAAAGTTACCTTGAAACGGCAGTCTAGGCCAGAGGTCAGCAAAGGGAAGCCTTAACCTATGAATGGTTTTTACATTTCTTTGAAGGGTTGTAAAGAAGAAAACAACCCGGAAGACTGTGTCACAGAGACCTCATTGCAAAGCCAGAACTGTATACTCTCTGGCCCTTTACAGAAAACGTTTGCTAACCCCTAGTCTGGGAAGGCAGCCTCAGTGTCTGGAAGCAGCCTTGGGATTTCGAATTAAAAATTCAAAAGAACAATGATGTGGAAATTCTTGTGATTGTGTTCTGAGCCAGTGTGGCTGTTCTTCACTTGGGCTCTGGAGGAGATCCAGCCTGCTTAGAGTTGTGCAAGTCATGTAGTTGCTCATTTTTAATTTCCTAAAATTGAGCCTGAGGCATTTTTCTTTCTTTTCCTACAGAAGATTTTGATTTTACTCCCACCAGTCTTGCTCGTTTTCCCTAGAAAAGTTGGATATTAACCAACACAACACAAAGCAGGACAAAGAAAGGTGGTTTTGGAGCTTAGAGACAATAAATTAATAACAGTCCAACCCTTTGGCTACTCAGCATCCATATGCTCCCTTCTATACACATTTGAAATTTCATACCACAACAGAACAGCTCTGTATTTCTACCTAACAAAATGCAGCTGTCCTGAGTGAGAAGTTGTCATCCTCTGTAGGTGAGGATCCACACAGTCATTGTATCCATCGCTGACTGTGAATTGTCCTCAAATTCAGTGATAGTCTCACTGAATGTTGTTTCCTAGAAACTAAATTGTGAAGTTACCCTGCAACTACTTGTAAGTAAAATGAGGGAAAGAAACAAAAGGAGGAAATAATAAATACAAATAAACATATACACAAAACAAAAAGAGAACATGCAAAGCTACTGCAAACCACCTTTCTTTGTCAAGAGGCCATAGCTGACATCTATGATACTTCCTCCTTCTACCATGCATTCCATATTCTCATAACCAGAAAATATGAAGAACATACTTTCCAGAATTGTAGATGTCATGTTTTTTAAAATCCAAAGTAAGCAATTGTTTTATTTTTTGGTATTCAACTATTTTATGAAAATTTTGTCCAAATATAACATGACAGTCAGTTTAACTTTATTATAGTATCATACCTTATCATTCAAATTTTAAAGACTTTAAATAAGATTGGTAATTAAGGTAGACCTGAACATTTACTTTAGATTTTTTTCTTGTGTTTTATAGGACAACATCAAAAATAAATGGTATAGAATATGTTCCTTTCATGAGTATCGATCTGAGAGAACGTTTTGCCTATCCGATGCCTTTCTGGTAAGTAACCACTGTTGCAGTTTTTACTTCCAAGATTGTTTTAATTTTCCAGCATTTTTTCCATACTCTGAATTCTGGTGTAATTCGTAGCCTTGAAATTCAAATTTGTATTAAAAAATTTTGATTGGAGGAGAGGTGCGGCTATGGGAAGGAGGTGGGGCAACATAGCAAGAGTACCTGTGTTATCATTTGCCTAGTAATGAGCACATATGGATGTCCTTTTCCTTGATATTATACTCATAGTGCCTAGCACACTACCTGGCACAAGCTAAGTACAGTTACGTGTTGCCTAACGATGGGGATACGTTCTGAGAAATGTGTCGTTAGGCAATTTCTTCGGTAAAAGAACATCATAGAGTGTACTTACACAAACCTAGATGGCATAGCCTTCTACGCACTGAGGCTGTACGATACTGATGTTATGGGACCACTGTTGTATGTGCAGTTCGTTGTTAATTGAGACGTTGTTACATGGCACATGGCTATACTCAGTAAATATTTGTCAAATTGATGTTTGGATTGCAACAGAAATGCAAGTCAGTGAAGGAATTGAATGGAAAAAGAGAATAGAATAACAATACCACGGTTTACTCAGAAGATAGAATTCAAGAAAGGGCTAATTATGAAGGTGTTAGTTAACATAGCCTTCCAAGACAGTGGCAGCATATGTCAAAAGCCTTAAAATGATTGTTTGGTTCAGGACTCCCAGTTTCTAGTCATCCTAAGGAAATAAAAATTCAGTCGAAGATAAATATAATAAGAGCATTAATCGAAGCATTTTTTACAGCAAAAAATTATTAAACTAAATATCCAACAATATGGGAATGATTAAATAATGGCACATCCATATTATTATGTTAAATATTATGTTACCCATTAAAAATGTCTTTGAAGATGCTTGCAATATAATAAAAAAGATAGAAAATTATATATATAAACCCAAATTTTATTTTTCTTTCATATATTTATAGGTACGTAGAAAGAGTGATGTAACGATACATATGAAAATGTTTCCAGTGGTTGTCTCTAGGTAGCAAAATTGGGTGATTTGACTTTTTAAAATATTTTTATTTTTCAAAATTTCTGCAATGAGTGTGTTATATTTATTATGAGAAGAAAAATCAGTTGAATGCTTGTTATATACAGAACATATAAAAGGCTCTACAAACAACAGAAGAACTGCTTTCTCATTTTCAAGCGTTTTGCTGTTCTTGGACGGGCGAAAGTTAGATGTCTCAAAGCCACTAAGTTCTCAACCTAATTTTTTCACTAGGGCAACCGTGTGATGCTAGTTATTGATTGGGATGTAAGAAATTTTTATATTTGAGAAGCTTCATAGCATTGATGTTAAAGGCACAGATTCTAGAGCCAAACTGACCAATTTCATATCCCTTGTGACCCTGGGCAAGTTTTTAAAACTGCCTCAGATTTTAAAATAATAATAGAATCTACCTCATAGTGTTAATGTGGTGAGTAAATGAGTTAATAAAATACAAAGCACTTACAGTAGTGCTTGTTATGTTGCAAGCACTATATAATAAGGGTTAACTGTTAGAAAAATAACTTTGTGTTAAATACTAAATTATATTACACAGTTAGGCTGTACATTTCGGATACTTTAAAAATGTTTATACCCCTTTAACCAGTAATTTCACTTCAGGAAACCAATTCTAAAAAGTATTTATAGATGTGATTTATATAAAAGATAATCCTCAATATTATTATAATTGTGAAAATCAGTTATTCTAATATGTTCTTATATGGTTATATTCAAGTAGAGATGTAAACTTGTAGTTCCAATTTTTGTGTAACAAATTAAGATAAATCATATTTTTAGTGCCCATACAACAGAATGTTCATAAGAAGAATATTATACAGCTACAATCAAGTTTTCAAGAAATTAAATAACGTGGAAAAATGCTTACAATATAATTGAAACAGCAAAATATACCATACAAACTCCCTTAATTTAAGCATAGCATTTGTCACAGTTAGAATTTTACTTTTTGCTTTTACTTACTCAAAATCACATTTACTTGTCCAATGTCTGTCCTCCACACTGGATTAGAAGCTTCATAAGGATACTGTCTATTTTGATTAATTTGTACCCCAGTGCTTAGCATATAGTAGGTACTCAGTAAATACTTAATTAAATTTGGAGAAAAATCAAGAATGAATACTAAATTAACTTACGCTAGCAAGATTTTTTCTTTCTTGTTTTCTAGATTATTTTACGGTGAGAATAATCGGAAGAAAAAGTAACAGTAAACATTTTTAAATTCAAGGATAACAGATGACAAGAAAAGGCTTCACAATTTATGAATCTTTGGTTAGAAAGATGGATTTTTAAACATTTTTTTCCTGTTTTGGAATTATATTACTTTTAAAACCATAAAATAAGCATTATTGAGTAAAAATTATATTTATAAAATATTTTTAATATCTTTAAAGTTCTAAGAAAAAAACATTGAATTTGGTAATTTAGTGGTGACTTAAGAAAACAGCTATGAAGGAATCTTGGATTTATTCTGGATTATGGTTCATATGGCAGGTTAATAATACTAAGTAATTAGGTTATAGATTTGAATGTCTTATTTTTTCCCCCTAGAATTTTGTGATGGCTGTCTTTAAATTCTGAATTCACTCAGTTCTCTTTCTGTTTACAATCAACTACTGATACTACGCAAGTACCAAAATGTTACCTAGAACACTAATGGTTCTGTGAGATGATTATCAGAAAAGTGTGAAAAGTGTTACATACTGTATTCTACTCTGAGAAATTTACAGAAACCTTGGCTTATGAAAGGTTTAGAGCCATCCTCCAGTGAAAAACCAGGACTTTAACCAGGAGTTTGCAGGTCACACCTAACCACAAAACCCTCTTTCTCCTAATATCTATCAATATTTTTTGAAAAAAGAATGTTATATTTGCTTCAGTTTGCGTACCATATAACATATTATCCTAGAAATCTTTGAAACCACAAAATTTGTTGCCCTTGCTCTAGTAGAGGTTTGAGGAAAGGTAGATGTTTTTTATTTGTGCTATACATCAATTTTAGAGAAATATTACACGGTGTATTTCCAGCATACTGTGGATAGAGGGTAGTGGATAAGAACGGTGAATTTGGCATCGGAGACCTGGATTCAAGGGCCAGTTCTGCTACTTCTTAGCTCTGTGGCCTTGGCAAGTTATTTAATCACTTTAAGCCTTTTCCAAAAATATTTGTTTTAATAGAATTGTCTTGAGGATTAAATGAATAATGTATGTAAAGTACTTTAGCATGATGCCTGTCACATGGTTGTTACTCAGTAATTAGCTACTTTCATTATTAGCCTTGTAGAGAAGTTTGTCAAGAGCCAACATAAGGATCTGTTGCTTCCCTAGGTCCTTTTGAATGAATCTGCTTGTATTGTTAATGGCTCCATTTTATTGAAACTGAATTTCTTGAATATAGCCATACTAAATTAAATTTTTTAATTATGTTCTTAAAGTAAATATAAATGAATTTAAGTTGCTTTTCTGTTTTTAGTTATGAGTTTTCAGTTTCAATTGAGGAGGAGGATCAGATTGACTGGATTCATGGTTAAGTGCAAAGAACTAGATTTGACTAGAGAGTTATATTAGGATGGCATAAATATAGCTATGATCACCATACTGAAAAAAAAAACTCTAGGAAACATTTAATTGTGGTTTTGAGTCATTTTTTAAGATTAATGTTATTACTAGTAGTAGTAAATTTTTTATTATTACCTCAGTGATAGATGGGGCAAGCTACCATTATCACCTAAACAAAAAGCTACATTTTCCAAATGGGTACGACCAGAAGACCTCACCAACAATCCTACAATGATTTATACTGTGTCCAGTTTTAGCATAAAGCAGGTAAACATTTTGTATAATTTTATACGAAAGCTAGCATTTTAAAGTAATTTGAATATAGTTTGAATTTTTCCTTAGATTTTTATTATACGTTCAGATGCATGAGTATAGTTGGAAAAATTATTCATTCTACACGCTTTGACTTAGTCATACTGAGTTAATAAGTATGAATAACTGTTTTGAGCAATTACAGATTTTTATATAGACCCTATTTATCGATATGTGCTTGCAAATGAGAAAGTTGAGAATCTGAACTTCACCTTTGGTAATTGAATAGATATAAAAGACAGAAAGATATTGGACTTATTTGAAACACTTCAGTGGTAGAACAACAATATGGGTTTGGTACAAACTTCAGTTAAGGTTTGCATTGAAGTCACAGGTGTCATCCATGTTAGTGTAAAAATAAGAGTCCTGAAATACTGTGATTGAAGAGTCTTCTGATGTGCATATTCATTTTAATTGGTTATATTATAAACCAGCTTCTTAAAAAATGCCTTTAATTTTTGTGATTAAAAATAGTGTGATTCAGTGAGTATGCTTTCATCCATGTAGAGAATACATCATCTATATTTGATTATTCTAAATTAACTTCATTGAAATACTTTATTCGGTTTTTCTAGGATTTGTTTGAGCAAAATAGGTGTTTGAAGAAAATTGGCAGTATGGTATTTCTATATTTATTATTTTCCTATTCAAGCAACAGTTCAGATATTTAGTATAAAAAGTCAGGTGCTTAGGTGCAATGCTTAAATATTGTGGTAATGTTGAAATTACATGAATGAATGAGTGAATATATTAATAAATTCTTATTAACAGACAATAGTATCAGATTGTTCCTTTGTGGCATCACTGGCTATCAGTGCAGCTTATGAAAGACGATTTAATAAGAAGTTGATTACCAGGTAAAATTTTATTTTTGTCCCTTTAGTCTTTTTCATATAATTGTCTCAACTGGAAATTTGAAACTTAGGACTTACCTGCATAGAAAATGAAGAGGGTGTATCACTCAGAATATTACGGCCCCTGTGTGTTAAGCAGATGATTTGTGAATGTGGAAAGATTTGCTAAAACGATCTAAGAACATATGCTCATATGGCTAAAATAATGTATGTGGAATAAATATGTTTTTAAATAAATGGGTTAAAGTAAAATCATGTCATATTTATAATTATACTGCACTGTAGGGCGGCCACTAGACACGTGTGTCTGTTGAATACATGAAATGGGCTAGTCTGAATTGAAATGGGCTGTAAGTATAAAATGCATCAGATTTTGAAAACTTAGCACAAAAAAATATAAAATTGGAAAATATCTCAAATTTTCATATTGATTATATGTTGAAATCATAATATTTTAGAAATGTTGGGTTAAGTAAAATATTAAAATTAATCTCACCTTTTTTTAACTTTCAATAATGACAACTGGAAAATATAAAATAATATATTTCTTTTGACTGGAACTGCTTTTGAATGTACTGAAATGTTACTGAAATATTTTCTTTCAATTTTTAAAAGCTTTTTAGCTTAATATCATTCATTGTAAAAATTAAGCATTATAATTTTTTCATACAGCTTTTCCTGAGTAGTTTTTGTGTATTAAGTCTGGAGAATACAAAGATGAATTAGACACAGACCATAGTTTTAAGCTATTTGCCATTTGGATAAACAGACCATATAAGTAAATAATATGCAACGTGTAAAAGAAAATTGATAGTGATAGTTATTACAGGTATCTTATTGGATAATTTTGCCAAAGTTTATCAGAGTTGTGCTAAGTAGCTTTATTACTGTCAGAGTTGTAGTCACCTTAGTTGTGGTTAACTGAAATGGTCTTCTCTTCTTGGGGCCAATAGTAGATTATTTTAACTGGTTTAAAATATATCCACTTAATAGAACATTTATTAGAGTGTATAATTAGAAACTGAGCTCTTTTCAGAATATTGTGAAATTTATGCCCTGCTGTATAATCTCATAAAATACTTCATTCATTTATTTACATTAAATAAGCACTTTGATTCAAGTGAAATTCTTTTTCTAAGCCAATTATAGAAAAAAATTCTCAGGTTTATTTTTATAAAATAGTCAAGACAATAGCATGTGTCTAAATAAAATATAATATCCTGCATAGTGGTTTATATTGAATATTAATGTTGGTATTTCAATATTTATTTTCCTTACAAAAGCATAATTTACCCTCAGAATAAGGATGGTGAGCCAGAGTACAATCCATGTGGAAAGTATATGGTAAAACTTCACCTCAATGGTGTCCCAAGAAAGGTGAATAATGTCTCTCCCCACCCCAACTCCTCCTTTCTCTCCCTTCCCCACCTTTGAATCTTGAGTAGAATCATTAAGAAATGTTATTTGTGTGAACATTTAGAAAGTCAGTTTAGTTGATTTTGAGTCTGCGATATTATACGTATTACTACTACTAACATCATATGCTAGTAATTAAAAATCATGACAAGTATAAAGTCTTTTAAAAAATGTTTTGGGAAAATTTATAGGAGGTTCCAAAAGGTAACATTGAGCTAGTGATTGCTAATGCTTAAAATAAATTTTAATCTGATCTTAATTACTTTTTTGATTAAAAAGAAATTGGACAGACTGTGTCTCAGGTCAGAAGAGTTTATATGTATAGTCATAACTTGAGATGTAGGAAGCCTTTAAAATTCTGTTTTCCTTTGTGAAATATATGCATAGTTTTAAATTACACTAATTTATTTAAGAACTTCAAACTATGTTGTGAGGGTCTTGCATTGTTGGGGTTTTCTAGTTCCTGTCTACTCACAGAGGTACATGGATCAGTATTAGCATCACCCCAGAACTTGTTAGAACTGCACAGTTTTAGGCCTCACCCTGGACCTGCTGAATCAGAATCTGCATTTAAACAAGATCTCCTGGTGCTTCTAATCTGAGAAGCTGAGAAATTGCTCTGTAGCTCAGTAATACTCAAATTTTAGTGTGCACAGAATCACCTGGAGGGCTTGTTAAAACACAGATTGCTGGGCTGGACACCAGCAGGGTTTCTGATTCAGTAGGTCTGGCATGGGGCCATAATTTGCATTTCCAACAAGTTCCCAGGTAATGGTGATGCTGTTGTCTGAGAATACCCTTTGAAAACCAGTGCTCTAGCTGATTACTTAAAAACTAAACAAAGTTATTGAGAATGGTTTTTCTGAACTATAATTTTTAAATAACTCTTTGTTTAAAGAAACTTTCAAAGTGCAGTTGCAGAATTCTCCTGTTAGTGTTGGATCAAAATTCGTCTTATCCTCTTGTTTCCCAGATCACTTTATAATATGAATTAGAAACTGTATCTTTGTGGTGATTACTTCCTCTGTTATTTAAATGTATTTTTTAGCCATAATGTTCTACTTTTACAACTATACTTAGCATGAGTCTTTTTGCAGGTTTAGGTTAAAATGACAGGTAGTAACATTGTAATTTACCTTAAAAGTGAGGCCCTTTTATAATTATTTTAGATATAATGTACATTTCTAGAATCTAATAATTTTGATGGTAGATCCATAACATTTAACCAGTTGGCTCAAGGTTTATCACCTGACAGGGAGATTAGCTTGTAAAATTGAATGAAGACATCTTATAACATTTTATAATTGATCCAATTCTAAAAATATAAAACTATGATATGAAAATATGAAAACAGTATAGGCATATCATTTCTTTGATTTTATTAGTATAAAAGGTGTTTTTTTAATTGATAGAAAGGAAATTAATGTTCTCTTTCTCCAGGTGATAATTGATGACCAGTTACCTGTTGATCATAAGGGAGAATTGCTCTGTTCTTATTCTAACAACAAAAGTGAATTATGGGTTTCTCTCATAGAAAAAGCGTACATGAAAGTCATGGGAGGATATGATTTCCCAGGATCCAATTCAGTAAGTAACAGAAAGGATGATCTAGACACAAATTTATGCTATCTAATATGACTAATTTAAATTTGAAAGATTATAGATGATATTTTTGTTTAAAGGAAAAGAAAATAAATTATCAACCCCTGAAAAATGTTGATGAGTCACTTTATTATAGGGGTACATGTTTTCTCTTCCAAGGATAGGGCACTGTATAGATTGAAAAGCCTACAATGTATGTGTCTGCTGTTCTATTGGAATATAGGCCGACTCAATACAGTATGGCACCTTGCCAAAGAAGTCTCTTCAGATCAAAGGGATGTGCCATATTGTCATCCTTACATATTTTTTGATTTGTAAATTCAAGTTGAAGACGTTTTTTGTTTGTTTTGCCCAACCTTCACAACTTAAACCTGTAAAATCAATGTGTGTGTTAATGTCCCATAGTTGTTTGAGGTAAACTGCTGGACTTAACGTCAGAAATTAGTCACATTAGCATGACTTTGAATTATGACACTAACCAGCCCATGGCCTTAGAAAAAGTATTAAACTGTTCTTAGCCTCTTTGCTTGTCTGTAATATAAGGGTAATACACACCTCTTAGAATTATGAAGATTAAATCAAGTAAGGTATTCAAATCACCCATCATTCATACCTGGTTGGTTTCTCTCCCTAGTGCCAGGCCTCCTTCACTCTTCTGGTTCTTATAATGCGAGGCACAGAATGTATAGGTCATAGTAAAAAATGCAATAGGATGTTAAAATTTCTTCCTAGCCTATGTGCTCAATTGCTCTGTCTTTCAAATTTTTTTTTTGAGGAAGATTATCCCTGAGCTAACTATTGCCCATCCCCCCCCCCCTTTTTTTTTTGCTGAGGAAGACTGGCCCTGAGCTAACATCCATGCCCATCTTCCTCTACTTTGTACATGGGACGCATACCGTAGTGTGGCTTTTGCTAAGTGGTGCCATGTCCACACCCGGGATCCAAACCGGCGAACCCCAGGCTGCCGAGAATCGGAAGGTGTGAACTTAACTGCTGCACCACCAAGCCGGCCCTTCTGTATTTCAGATATTTTTAGTTTAGTTTTCTAATCCAGTGCCTGTTTACCCAGTGCAGCTTAGAGAAAGAATGAGAATACATGTAAAACATTAGAAAAATGACTAGTATCATAAGAACTCACTAAATGGTGAGTGACTGTCATTATTATTAAAGCAGTTTTTTCAGTTACATGTTTTGAGTTTTCATCATATTTACCAGTAAAACAATTCTATTGTATTCAAGAAAAGCAGTGAAAATTGTAAGGAAAAGGCAAGCATGTGCTTAAATCCAGGTAGGAATTTGAGTAAAATAAGAAATTTATTACTGGTAGAACACAACTTACTACCTTCTGATTTATTCCTCTCAGAATCATTACATTAAATCATTGAGATTAATAGCTACCCCGGGGATCTATTTGAGCTTGAAAACAGCGTTGACAGTGCTGAAATGTGTTTATGTCGCAGAATATTGATCTTCACGCACTGACTGGGTGGATACCGGAGAGGATTGCTATGCATTCAGACAGCCAGACTTTCAGTAAGGATAATTCTTTCAGGATGCTGTATCAAAGGTAAACATTTTTTTTCTCTTTCTTTTTTTTTGGTAGTAAAAGGGGCTATTTTAAAACTTCATGCCTTATTTGGACGAGATACTGGAGAGGCTGTCATTTTCAGTTATTAGGGAAATCATGTTTTTATAATAGACTTCACTTTATTCAGTTGCTACAGCCAGCCCTTATTCTCACTGATGGTTACAGTTAATCCAAATTGTAGATAATCACAAACGTTTGAATCTGGAATTTGTAATATGGAAAAATTATTTTGTATTTCCTAAGTACTTACCAATTGAGGGAAAGTGAGAAAAGAGAAGTCTGAGAACATAGAGAGGAAGGTAGCTTAAGCCTTAAATGGAGAATCCACATGTAGGGACTGGAAAATTGTCTATACAGTAATACACATTCAGCAGTGACACTAGAAAACCTAATGATTGGATAAAATGGTGCTTTGGGAGACGTGCGTTTGTTGTTTCACATCTTCGTCTCTATTTGTAAGTCATGTGCATATGTAGCATTTGCTTTCCTTTACTGATAGGTTTCTACCTGAGAATTAAGTAGTCAAAAGAGGGAGGAGGGGTGATAATTTCTCTGCTGTGCTGTGAAATAGAAATGTACTTCTTGTTGAAAGTTCTTCAGGGGATGTTGAGAATAGCCCATTTTGGAAAAGGTGTCAAATTTTTGGAAATTTTCATGTAAACCACTAGACTAAATTAGGAAAGATGATATGATCTGAGATTACAAATGTGTTTTCCTTTCATTATTTGTCTGTGGGGTCATTCCAGGTTTCACAAAGGGGATGTCCTCATCACTGCATCAACTGGAATGATGACTGAAGCTGAAGGAGAGAAGTGGGGTCTGGTTCCCACACATGCATACGCTGTTTTGGATATTAGAGAGTTCAAGGTTTTGCCTTAAATTTTTTTCTCTTGTTTTTCTAGTTTGATATAAGAAATTGTAAGGATCCCAAATGATATGTTAGACTTTTGAATACTGACAAATGAAGGGTAGGTGAAGTTTTTAACTCGTTCCACCTATTAAACAACTTGACCTCTATCCTTGGAAATTATGAAATAAAAAGATGAGAAATATAACGACAGTGACAGCACAGATATTGGTGTCAGAACAGAAATGCCACATGCCCCTTTTTTTGCGTAAAAGTAGCAGGGTTGGGATGAATACACAGCCTCAAGGTTTTGGGCTGTATCTTGCCATTGGAGCTAATCACAGCATTAGGCTCTAGAGCATAGTAGACATTGCAGAAATCTTTGTGCAGGGACGGAAGAGAAGAGAACACCTGGGAATAAGGAACATGCCAGTGGGTTTGCAGGTATTTCTCTTGCTAGCAGCCCTTGTATGCTGTCAAGCCTTTCAGACCCTGTCTCTGTGCACAGGTCATTGGAATGGTTGACTTCATTATTTCTCAGGTTATTGACTATTGATTTTCAACTGAAAAATGGATCTGTTGTATGGATTAGGTAATACGAAGATTGTTGAGGAGGATTCTTCTTCCCTGGTGGTATGATACCTAAGCTGTCTGTCACTGGAAAGTTTAACCAGTGGTGTGTGTGCCAGTTTCCTGCTTAAACCTATAGACAAAAGTAGTGATCAATCAGCAATAACAGGGGACCAGTATGTATTAATTAGATTGATTTTCTTATGTGACACGTGGAATTACATGAATTATGAAGTCAGTGGGGACCTGCCGCAATATTTAAAAATGTATAGTCTCAGTGCTTTCTAAATCTGCTGGGCACTGTTGCACTCCCAAGCATACTGTATAGCATTGTCTCTTCCTTTGACTACTTAAAAAATGTAAAACTTTACGTGAAACTGAATAAGCTGAGACGTTTGTGTTTGTGTTAGAAATGTAATTTGTCACAAACACTTGTCAACTGTTATTCTCAATTGTGAGAATATTTAACACTGTGTATGTATTACTTTATTGTTAAAACATCCTTGATGTAAGCATTAATCAGTAGGTGACCAGTAGAGAGGTAATGGCAAGAGATTTAAATTTAGGTAATGAAACAGTCAATATGAAAGTAAGCTTGAATGTGAGAAAAATTTCTGTGAAGATTGTATCGTTTACCTGGAATATAAAACTATTTGTTTTGATTATGCAAAGAAAACTAGATTATTCAAGAAAACTAGACAAATAATATATTTATGAGGAAAACAAGCACCTGTGGTTTGACCTGAAAACAAAACATTAAAAAATTACTGATTGCCAGTCAAATAAGAATTTCCAATAACAGCCTTTTTAGTTAAAAATCAGTAGCATTATTCACATAGTATCAATTCCACATGGCAGTTATTCTGTAAAGATTAAAGCATTTTAGAGCATATGTGGAGGGAGTAAATGGGGGCCCAGTGACAGGTTTCCTCACTGTGACAGTGCTCACGTTCACATCATAATTCTTTGAAAGTTACTCATCAAAAGCAACATTACCCAGCTTGAGCAGACGTCTCACACTGTGAAGCTGACCCCAGTTTCCTTTTGTTTACATGAAGTCTTTGTAGTCAGCGTTGATCTTTACCTAAAGTCTTCATGTGTGTTAAAATTTTGTTTTCTCCAGTATCTTTGGGTATATATTTGAAGAATTTCCTGGGTTCATCATTTTTATGTTATTTTTGTTGTCTGTATTTTGAGATACTTCCTTAGTTCTCTATTTAACAATATTTCCATGTTTGTCTCCTTCAGGCATTTATCTCTGGAACCTTATTTGTGCAGATAGATCTAATCTTAGACTAAAGCTATTCCCAATCTTATGTCATTCGTGACTTTCTTCACTTAATAAGATTTTCTTATTAATATTTTCAGGAAAGTGTTATCCTTTTTGTTTGACTCCCTCTAACCTGCTTGCACCTTCTAAGATCTTCACTTCAGTCTCAGCGATCCTCCCTTTGGATCACTTTTTGGTCTCCTCCTTGAGGCGATCTTGCATAGTCCACTGTGAAGGCTCATCTCAGTTTCAAGCTGCTGCCTCTAAGGCCAGTCACGTCTTACCAAGGGATTTCTGAACCTATCCCAGGCTTTTCCTTTGCTGCTAGTTGGAATGACTTTGGAAATGGGATGTTTCATCATAAAACAGATTCCTTTTTTTAGTTCTCCAGCATTTCTTCCCCTATTCAGGGCCTCTGAATTGCTGGTTCTCTCTCTAAACAAAATCTACAGCCATGTCTTAGTGTCCTTGAATGTCAGTGATGCCTGGGACTTGCCTCTGAAAAGCTCAGCGGCAGTTTTCTCTCCCTTATATTCCTTTTTTAAGAAGGGATAGAGTCCTAAAATAAGGCAGATTTCCTGCTCATGTAGAACTAGATTTTATGAAAAGAAAGGAATTAGGGTTAAGTGTCTGTTTGCTGATGTGTGGCAGGGGCAGAGGTGAGATACAAGTGGTAAGAAGAAATTGAGAAAATAAATTTGAAGATTCTAGGGAATAAAGCCTCAGAGAAATGAGCCTTACGTCCAGAAGTCACATCTACCCCAGGCCGTGATTTGCCACATTTAGAATAGCAAAGGAATATGTTTTTTAAAAGATGTCCCCCAGACAGTTTGATTTATGACATCGTTAGAAAAAGAATACAATTTCCTAAGTTGACCACTCGGAAAAGAGATACATCCTCTTCTGGATTTACACACTCTTTTGTTTTTCTGAATCAGTGTAATCAATTCTATAGACACACCCAGTATTTATTGAGCACTTGCCAGAACCTTAACACCCTCTTCCATAAACTCAGTGGAGACTTCCGGAAAAGGATAATAGTGTTAGCATTTCAAGGAGTTTACCGTCTCATTGGGGAGACAAGACTCCTACCTACATTTGCACAAGTAGGAAAATACAAGATAGGATATTATTTGTTTTAAACTAATTTAATACAGATTGTTAGCACTATAAAGTGTAGAGGAGAGGTAGTCATTAAAAGGAGAAGGGGATTACTGAGTACTAGATACTTTGCATATGTTACTTCACTTAACCTTCCCAACAGTCTTCTAAGGAGACATTATAATCCTCATTTTGTACAGGAGTAAACAAATGCTCAGAGAGGTACATGACCCACCCCTGGCTGGGTGATAGAAGGCTGATTAATAGGAGAGCTGGAATTTGGTCCCACTTCATTCTGACTTCCAAGTCCATGTTCTTTTCTCTTTTCTTCACTGCTTCAATCTTCACAGAGACAGTCCAGTGAAGGAAGAAGCTAAAGGGAATCTGAAAGGAAGGGTCATTAAAAGGGATCAGAGAGGGCCTTCCAGGACAGGGAAACAGCTTGAGCAAATGCCTTTAGAGGTGAAATTGAAGACAGATTATTTATGGGGATTGTGAGAGGAAGGACTAGATTAGAGCCAGAGATAACATGGGGTACGAGTACTGGAAAATAACGTGGGCCAGAGTAGAGTAGGCTTTGAAAGGACAGGAAATTCTTGATGCTCTAAGGCAGCCCTCTTCCTAGAACTTCCGGTGATGATGGAAATGTTCTCTATCTGGGCTGTGCAGTGTATTAGCTACTACTTACACGTTGTCCTTTGAATGCTTGAAGTGTGACTAAGGAACTGACTTTAAGGTTTTTTAATTTGAATTATCACATGTGGTTAGTGCCTACCATATGGACCAGTATAGTTCTAGGGAATATGTAGCCATTGACAGTTTTTGATCAGGTATGTGACCTGGTGAAAGTATTGATTAAAGAATATTAATTTCAAGTTGATTTGGAAGGAAAAGTATTGATAAGTATTCAGAATGCATCCTCTCTTAGAAAATGCATGATATAACTAATAAAAATATGGTAACACTAGGCGCTGGCTGGTGGTGCAGTGGTTAAGTTCGTGCGTTCCAATTCAGTGGCCTGGGGTTTGCCAGTTCGGATCCTGGGTGCAGACCTACGCACAGCTTGTCAAGCCATGCGGTGGTAGGCGTCCCACAAATAAAGTAGAGGAAGATGGGCGCAGATGTTAGCTCAGGGCCAGCCTTCCTCAGCAAAAAAGAGGAGGATTGGCAGCAGATGTTAGCTCAGGGCTAATCTTCCTCAAAAGAAAAGAGTGATAAAACTGTTTTGCAACTATATCTTCTGTTTTTTTTTAATAGGGGCTGCGATTTATCCAACTGAAAAATCCTTGGAGTCATTTACGTTGGAAAGGAAGATACAGTGAAAATGATGTAAAAAACTGGACCCCAGAGTTGCAAAAATATTTAAACTTTGATCCTCGAACAGCTCAGAAAATAGACAATGGTAAACATATCTTTTTAACTTTAATACCATTTGATCTCTAATTAACATGCTTTAACAGTATGAAATGTACTTAAATGACTTAAGTCGTTTATCATTAAGATATTTTTTAGATTAACAAAGACATCTCATTTTCAGGAATATTTTGGATTTCATGGGATGATCTCTGCCAGTATTATGATGTGATTTATTTGAGTTGGAATCCAAGTCTTTTTAAAGAATCAACATGTATTCACAGGTAACTTTTGCACATTTCAGAATATGCTTTATAGTGGTCTCCACTTTTTTCATTTAAAATTTAATGATTAGTTTAGGAAAACTAGTATTCTCTCTTTGTGTCATGCCTATGATAACTATCATGTAATAGTTATTTTCTTTATATTCTTCTTTGGTTATGCCAAAAATTTTAAAAACATAAAACCTGATAACTTAAATGTATTTGAAATACAACACTTTGAAAAGTAATGTTATATTTTAGTTCTGAGAAATTTAATTACTGCCGTTTTTGTTGACTTTATCTTTTAGTACTTGGGATGCTAAGCATGGACCTGTGAAAGATGTGTATAGCCTGGCCAACAACCCTCAGTACAAATTGGAGGTGCAGTGTCCACAAGGAGGCGCTGCAGTTTGGGTTTTGCTTAGTAGACACATAACAGACAAGGTACTGATCCCTTCTTATGATATCCCGTACAGAAATGTTTTAAATCTAATTAGACCTTGTGACAAAATATGTAATTTGATCACAAGCCTGTTTCATTTGTATAGGTGGTTTGAAAATAGTGTTTTCTTAGATAAATATTTTCCTCTAAGGAAATTTATAATTTGTAATCAGACACTTAAAATCTCGTTCAGAAATCATCTATGAAGAAAAACATGAGGGAGTTTGTATTTTTTAGTAAGGGTTTTGGGGTTTATTATATATGCTTTAGATCTTAAGACTATTTAACATTAAAATATGCTGACGGGGGTTTGGAAATGTTGAGTCATTAGGTCTGTTTCTATAAAGGGTAACCGTAATCTTAATAGCCTCAGAGTCTTATTTAATATATTACTTCATACAATGTGGTCATCTATTGAAATAGTTTAATTCACAGAAAAGTTTTTTATAGCACAAAGCTGAAATAAATGCTCTTAAAAGTAGGGGTTTTTTTTTTTTCCACTTAAGAGCACTGAACCCATTTTCCTAATAACTACTTTGGATTCTTTGTGCTTTTAGGATGATTTTGCAAATAATCGAGAATTTATCACAATGGTTGTATACAAGACTGATGGAAAAAAAGTTTATTACCCAGGTATGTTTAGTAGACAAACATTTAAACAAACATCAAAATTTTATTTACATGACTAAGTTGAAAACTGACATTTTATGTAGGTAATATGCAAAAATAATTATGCTAGTAGACTAATAGAAACCACTCAAACAGATGGGTTGGTATTTATGCTATTTGTGTGTTTTATTTTGATTTGTTTTTAATTTAGAGACCTCAGGAAGTTGGGATTTCTGTATTCTTGCACATTGCTGTCAGAGTTTTATTTTTAAAACTTAAGCCATATCTTTTTTTTTTCCCCAAGATTGGCACCTGACCTGACATCTGTCGCCAATCTTCTTTTTTTTTCCTCTTCTTCTCCCCAAAGCCCTCCAGTACGTAGTTGTATGCTATTCTAGTTGTAGGTCTGTCTGGCTCTGCGATGTGGGATGCCATCTCAGCAATGGCCTGATGAGCAGTGGTGATCAAAAATTCTCGAGCCAGCCCTGATGGCCTAGTAGTTAAAGTTCAGCACTCTCACTCTCAGTTCCTGGGCACAGAACCATACCACTCACTTGTCAGTAGCCATGCTGTGGCGGCGGCTCACATAGAAGAACCAGAAGGACTTACGACTAGAATATACAACTATGTACTGGGGCTTTGGGGAGGGAAAAAAAAAAATGAGGAAGATTGGCAACAGATATTAGCTCAGGGAGAATCTTTCCCAGCAAAAATAAATAAATAAATAAAAGATTTTAAAAATTCTCTGGTTTTCCATGAACTCTTGGATAAAATCCAAGCTCTTCGGCATGATGTATAGGCTTTTTAAATTCTGGCCTTAACCATCCTGTCCCCCTTTATTCCATGTCCCAGCTTTTCACAGTCCCTCAGTGAGGTATTGGCTACTCCTAAACACACCACGCCCCTGTTGCTTCTCTTTTCACACAGTTTCTTCTGCCAAGAATCTTTCTCCTCCCTGCTCTCTACTCAGTTAATTCTTTTCACCCTATTCTGCGTCATGGACATGGTGCAGATCCAGCTTATATGTTATTTCATCCGTGAAAACCTTTCTGCCAGGCAAAGTGAATCTTTCCCTCTGCAGGGCTCCTGAGGCATTTAACATATTATATTGAAACCACTTTGCATTCAAATTCAAAATTTGTATCACTTAGTTGGGGAGACAGATAGTAAGCAAAAAAAAAAAAATCAGGTAATGATACATGTGTAAAGAAATAAACAGGGTCACATGTTAGTGACTGGTTGGTTGCTTTGGTTGGGTGGCCATGGAAGGCCTCTTTGAGAAGCGATAAGAGGGACTCTGAATGACAAACAGGAATCAGTCATGCAAAGAAATAAAGGGAAAACCATTACAGGCAGAGGGAACAGCAAGTACAAAGACTCTAAAATGAGAAGATTGGTGTTTTCTAGGAACAGAAAAAGGCCAGTAGGCCTGGGGAAGTTTGTATCAGAAGAGGTCGGAAAGGTATGCAGGGTCAGATCACATGAGGTTCTGTAAGCCGCAGGAAAGGGTTTGGATTTTGTTCTACATGTGATAAGAAATCTCTGGAGGGTCTTAATCAGGAAAATGACATGATCTGATTTTTTTTTGAGAACATTTTTTGTAGAACATATTGGAGGGGGCAAAAAATGGAAGCAAAGAAACGAGTTAGGTGATTTTGATTTATGTGATAAATGGTGGTGGTTTGAACTTAAGAGGGTAGGAGTGGAGATAAGGAAGAGTGGACAGATTTGGGTTTCAGTATGATTGTCAGGACTTGTTGAGTTGATCTAGAGAGCAAAGAATGATTCCTAATTCTTTGGCTTAAGCAGTAGGAAGCTGTAACGTTTACTCAGATGGGTAAGAGTTGGTAGGGGCAGCAGATTTGTTGTGGAGTAAAATCAGAAGTTCATTTTTGGTTTTATTAAATTTGAGATGCCTATTAGATATCCAAGTGAAGATGCTGAGTAGGCAGTTGAATTTTTGAGTCGACTTCTGGGATAAGGTTAGGACTTTAGGTACAGATTGAGGTGTCAGGGACATGTAGATGGCATTTGAAGATAGGGCTGGATATGTCACTATATATATAGCATATATATGTGGAGAGAGTTGTAGGTACAGAGATGAACACTCAGGACCTTCCCCCCTGGACTCTGACATCTTAAGGTTGAGCAAAGGGAAAGTTATCACAAAAGAATTTGAACAGAGTACCTGATGAAATAGAGTAAGGTTTCACATGACCCAAGGCAAGAAAATGTTTCATGAGGGAAAGAGTGGACAACTGCATCTATTGCTATTTTAGAGGTCAGTAAGATAGAGAAGAGACAATTGGACTTAGCATCCTCGCAGTCATTGTTGACCTCAACAAGAAAAGAGTTGGTGGAGAGGTGGGCTAGAAGACCAGTTGGAGTGTTTGAGAAGAGACTGTGAGGTAGGGAAGCAATTACTGAGAGTTCTTTCAAGAAGGCTGTGCAGAGAAATGGGCAGTGATGGGGGAGATGGGATCAAAGGTGGTTTTGTTAAGTCTTGTTTTGTTTAATTAGAGGAAAACATGGCATTCTTCCCCATTACACTTGTGTTGAGGGCAGGCACTGATTCTTTTCAGTCGATATCCCTAGATATTCTGCATAGACATGGCACATAGTAGGTCCAAGGTTAATGTCAAGTTAAACTGGCTAGATCTTCCATTTTCCACATGTTGGTCATTATGTAACTGAAAGAGCACAAATGTTGTGAGTATATTCCTAGCGCTAAGATGTTATATGGCTTTTGAATTTCAAATATATTTGTTACTCTTTTTACTTGGATTTTTTTAATAGTGATCCCTCTGTTACACATAGTGATTTTCAGCTTTTCAGAGTACTCTCTGGTTTATAGATTCATTTTTGTCGCAACACTCTGAGGTAAATAACACAGGCCTTATTGTTCCCCATCTGACAGAAGAGTAAACTGAGACACAGAAACGTTAAAACCCTGTCTAGCGTCACAGACATGCCCATTCTTTTTCTCTTCACACTAGATCTCACCACCTCTAGGCATTAGAGACGTATTACCTGTTTGAGAGACTAAAAGGTTTAGTTTTTCTAATAGATTACAAGCTAAATAAGCTAAGTGATACAGCGTTGATCTTAAATACCAAATCTTAGTAGTGACCTGCATGAAATGGTTTTATTGTATCAGCTTTGATTGATGAGACTGTCAAAGAATATATCAGGCAGCATTGTTCATAATAGCAAAATATTGGAAATAATCTGAATATACAGAATGTCTGAATAACTAGATGGGAGTATAGATAAAATGGGTCATATTCATACAATGGAATATTATACCAGCAGTTTTAAAAGGAAAAAACCGTATCTATTTAGAACAACATGCATCTTAAAAACATGTTGAGTGAAAAATGAAAGATATGAAAGACATGTGCTATATTTTTTAGATATATGCTCACAGAAATATCATTTATGCGTGCATTTTTATGGATGTGTGTGTTAAAGTCTGAAAAGATGTCCATCACATCCGTCAGAGTGGAACGGAATAAGACTAAGGGTGGTGGTCTAAAGGGACTCAATTTTATAGAGAAGCTAGTAGGACCAAAAAAAATGTTAATTCTGAATGGTGGGGACCATAGATACATTTTCGTATACTACTGTGTATCTTTTAAAAGATAAAAAAGAAGCTAATCCTGACTTTAAAATCCTCTACTGGGAAAAAATGCAGCAGAGGGCAGCTCGCAGGGGTTATCTTCTGCCTCACTGACTGTATTCCAAAGATTGCTTTTGCTTATTAGAAACTATTCCATGTTAAAGTTTTAAATTGAAATTTCATGGTACTAATTAGAAATGGTACTACTTCTTTAGTACCATTATATCTTATAGAATTAATTAAGAGGATATCCATCCATTTAGTTATAAAACTTAAATTTAAAAACTAAAGTCTCCTTTTCTGTAAACCTGCTTATTTGCAGCTGACCCACCTCCATACATTGATGGGATTCGAATTAACAGCCCTCATTATTTGACCAAGATAAAGCTGACCACACCTGGAACCCATACCTTTACCTTAGTGGTTTCTCAGTATGAAAAACAGAACACAATCCATTACACAGTCCGGGTAAGTAAATCAACATACAATAACAGAACACCGTAACATAAACATCATGTGCTCTGCTTTGTAAGTGGGATTATCTATAGAAAAAGTTTATTTCTGAAAATTAGTTCTCTGTGTATTTTTGTGTGTATCTGTATATGAATTCAGCATTAAATTATGATGCTTCCTGCAGAAAATAATGCTTTTGAAAAGTAATATTTTATTTTGAATGAACATTTTAGTTTTCAGAGTAATAGTTTAGTCCTGAGGTAACATGGTATGTTGGACTAAAAAATTCAATTTCAGAGCAAGCAATAAAAGCTCCTTTAGCCTACATAATACTTTTATTGACTTAAGAAAGATGACTTTGAACTTAGTGAAAGGGAATCAATCACCTCTAAACACATTGCTCTTATGTAGCTGGGAAGGTCATTGTAATTTAGTTCTGCATAGATTTGTTTGCCATAGATCAGTAAAGAAGCTCAATTTGAATAGATTTTTAGTGATGAAAGGGCCATTGGGAGCTGTTTCCACCCCTTCCTTCTTCAGATGCAGAAGCTGAGGCCTAGAGGGATTGTGACTTGTCCTGGTCACACACAGTTAATAGCAGAGAAACCACGACCAGATCCCTAGCTTCCCAGTTCCCTGTGCATTAGACCTGACTCGATACCCGGTTGCCTACTGGTATCAAAAATAATGACTTTTATATATGCCAACTCATTTTTTAGTCTTCCAATATATTTTTTTATCACCTTGGTGTTTTCATGAGTATAAACTTTATCTGTACAATGAATTTTTTTTATCACCTTGGTGTTTTCATGAGTATAAACTTTATCTGTACAATGAATTTTTTTGGAATCTAGGTATATTCAGCATGCAGCTTTACTTTTTCAAAGATTCCTTCACCGTACACCTTATCAAAACAGGTAAGAGAATTCTTTGGGTCATAATCTTAGAGAAATCTTAGAATTCTCTTGCTTTTTCTCCTTTTTGCCTTTTCTTCTTTACATTTCTTACCAAGTAAAAACCTTCTGGGACTTGACAGGAATATAAGGGGAATGTAAGGAGCCTCCAGTCTGGGTTGGAATACAAGATCTTCAGGGATTAACAGTAAGTGGTTCTGGGGGAGGAAATAGATTCAGAGAGTGAAGATTAATGCAAACTCTCGTCATTAGGGAAGGCCATGTGAATGAACCTTTAAAGTAGAATTTGAGATTGGCTTTGCAGGGTAGGCTCAATGTGTAGAGGAAGATTTGGGGGAGATTCTTGGCAGGGAGAACAACACACTTGAGGACTGAGAGCTGGAGATGGGAAGTTAGTGTGCAGCAAAGTAGCATGACTGAAATGGAGAGTTCACTCGGTGGCCATTAAAGACTGGAGAGGGGGTGGAACCAGAGTGGAGAGATGCCTTTGAAAGATGCAAAGGAGTTTTGTCTTTAAAGTAGAATTGGAAATTGTGAAGTTTTGTTAATACAAAAACTTTGTTTTATTAGATTAATGGAAAATGGAGTGGTCAGAGTGCTGGAGGATGTGGAAATTTCCAAGAGACTCACAAAAATAACCCCATCTACCAGTTTCATATAGAAAAGACTGGGCCATTATTGATTGAGCTACGAGGACCAAGGTTTGTGATAACTTTCTTAAATTAATAATGTTATATTAAAAATAAGCTTAGTGGAACAGAATAGGGTTTTGAAACAGACCTATGCATATATACACACTTGATTTATGATAAAGATGGCATTGCAGAAGAGGGGGGAGAAGATATCCTGTTCACTAAATGGGGCTGGAATAATTGAGTATCCAGGTACCAAAAAGGTAATTAGACCCCTCTCAAATCACATCTAAAAAAATCAATTCCAGTTGGATTACTAATACAGGAGATATCTTAATAACCTCAGGAAAAGGAAAGATTTCACAAAGAGCACATAAAAAGAACAAAGACTGCAGTTTTTGAAAAGTAAAAACTTGAACAGACTTGTACGAGACAATCCAAGTGGCCAATAAACTAAGCCAGAAATTTGAAGCAACCCACAAGTTCACCAGTGGCATTTAAGATTATAACATAGTCATATGAAAGAGTTCTACGTAACAATGAAAGTGACAGCTACCCACAAATAAGTCTTAAAAACAACGCAGAGCAACAGAAGCCACACACAACAGAATATATACTGTATGGTTCCATGTATACAAAGTCAAGAAGAGGCAAAATGAAACTGTCTTAGGTAGTCAGACTAGACACAAAGCAAGAAAGTGATGACCGTAAGTTAGCTCTGTGGGGTAGGAGAAGGGAGTCTCCAAGGGACTTCTCTGGTGCTGAGAGGGTTTTGTTGGTCTCAGTGGGATAACCCAGGTGTGTGTTTGCTTTACAAATAATTTGATGCCCTATATGTTTTTTTGTTTGCTTGTTTGTTCTTAAAGATTGGCATCTGAGCTAACAACTGCTGCCAATCTTTTTTTTTTTTGCTTTTTCTCCCCAAATCCCCCCAGTACATAGTTGTATATTTTATTTGTGGGTCCTTCTAGTTGTGGCATGTGGGACACCGCCTCAATGTGGCCTGATGAGCGGTGCCATGTCCGCCCCCAGGATCCGAACCAGCAAAACCCTGGGCCGCCCAAGCGGAGTACGAGAACTTAACCACTCAGCCACAGGGCCAGCTCCTATATATTTGTTTTGTGTACATTGTTTGTTTTATTTCACAATTTAAAAAGGTTTAAAAAATACAGAGAATACAAAAATAGTACTAACTTTTAAATAAAACTAGGCTTAATTTTGTCTCCCTTACAAAGTAATTCAAAAAACACTAACAGTCCTTTAGATATGCTTAGGCTATTTTCCCACAAAATCATTTTTAAAACCTTTACCAGTTTGATGGGTAAAATAAGGTATCTAATTGCTCTTTTATATTTAATTTCTAGATTGAACATGTAAAAATGTTTGACAGTGTGTATTTTTTTCCCTTTATTGCCTATTCATGTCTTCTGCACATTTTTATGTTGGAATTGTCATATTTTTCTTAATTGTAAGCATATTGAATAAGGGTATGTATGTAAGGATATTAACTCATTCACCTATTTGCAAGAATTTTTCCCAGATTGTCATTAAATTTTTTTTCATGTAGAAAAAAATTTTCATTTTAAAGTAATCAAATCTGTCTTTTCTGGTTTATTTTGCTGTGGGCAGGAAATCTCACCCCAATATCAAATTTTCACTGTATTTTCTTCAAATTCTTTTATGGTTTTATTTTTTACATTGTTTTTTAATCCATATAGAATATATTTTCATATTTAGCCTGAAAGACAATTTGAACAGAGTTCTAAATTTGTCACCTCATCATCTAAATAAATAATCCTTTCCATACTGATTTGGAATACCATATCTACTATATGCTAATTACTTCCATAAATTTAGATTTTATTTCAGGGCTCTCTCTCCTCTTCCACTTTTTTTGCTTAATACAATGACAATATTTTATCATTTAAATTTAACATTATTCCCCAGGAGCCTGTGGTAAAAATACAGTTTCTTCTACGGTAAGTTTAATAAAATATTAATCTTTTTATGGCCTCAGTTTAAAAATATAAACGGTGTTTTGTCTAATTAAAACTAGTATGCATTTGTTTCAGAGTGCTCTTTCCTCCTGCTAAAGCTTTAGAAAGCAGATACTTGATTTAATGGTACATCTGCACTTTAGGTGTAGTTATTTTTTAGGTCTGTATGTATTTGAGGCTACTTAATAACAGCACTACTTCTGTTCCTTTTTACTACTAGGCAATATAGTGTTGGATTTGAGGTTGTAACCGTTTCTGTGGTGGGAGATCCTGGGCCCCATGGCTTTCAGAGGAAATCGAGTGGTGATTATAGGTAATGTCGGCATTTGATTGTATCTGATTTATACTTGACTTTCTGTGGCATCATCATTAAATATTGTTCTCATTTTCTCTGAATATAGGTGTGGGTTTTGCTACCTGGAATTAGAAAATATACCTGCTGGGATCTACAATATCATTCCCAGTACTTTTTTGCCTAAACAAGAAGGACCTTTTTTCTTGGACTTTAATAGTATTATCCCCATCAAGACAACACAGCTTCAGTGATGGAGAAATCTCAACAATGACTGGATTTTATGCTTACCAAATATCAACTCTTCAAATGAAGACACCAAGCTCCAGGACACTACACACAATAATCAGAATACAATCAGATCTCTAAAAACATTACAGTGGCATCTGGTGCTCAAGTCATGGTGTTTAGTGAGAACTGTATATAGTCAGAATTCCCCTAAATCTTTTAGAAGTACCATTTACATGGTTTTGTGTATATATGGAGTTGGCTTGCATTTAGGGGCCATACTGTATATTAAAGATTAGACTCGGCACTGTGAGTTGCCTTTGCTAAGAGGGAACAGAGACCGGCTGAGGGACGTGACTCATGGAGTGGAACGGTCAGCTGGTGTGATCCTCTGAGACACTTCCATTGTGTTTGTCTCGTTGGCAGAGCATGTTGTAAGTTAAACCTGCTTGTGTTGTGATTCTACGTCTTGGGCAACTAATTACCAAATGAACCATGTCATCATAACAGATTTTAATTTTGCATTATGACTTAAATGTTTATTGCCCAGATGTTACAAAAAAATATAGCTTTAAGAACTACTAATTAACTTAGCATGAAGCTACTCATGCTTAAGAATGAAGGTTGTTGAAGTTAGATACCTGACTCCCATTGACTCATGTAAAGAGAACTGAGGTATATTCACTATTCTTATTTTTTATCGCGTTCATGAAGTAGTAATCTGAGACATTGATGACATTACAACTCAGTGTGTATAGTCTTTTTTTAAATTGCTCTGTAGTTCAGTGCTCTTATAGTAGCAACACTGAAGAAAATACAATTGAGAACTTAATATATGGCAGTTAAGGTTGCGTTCAGAAAAACTGCCAGGATACTACTGTCATATGTAAATTCCCAGTTTACATAAAAATCCATCAGCAGAATGATGCTCAACATTTTAAAGATCTGAAAATAAGATGGAATTTTTTTCCTTGTCTCTACTTTATAATTATCAAAACTTATTTTGTATTTCTACTACCTTTAATTAAAATAAAATGTTTATACTTATGGAAACTGCATACTTTAATGTAGAGAAATTGATTATTAAAGGTCTTCATCTAGTATGTTCCACCTAAAAGAGAAACGAGAACTCGTTATTTACATGAAAATTCAAGCTTCAGCAACAAAAATCTGTTCTTTTACATTCCTAATAGTGGTAGATTGTTATACTAAGGAGATTTCACTTTTGTAGATATTTAGTGCTTTCTTTTTAGTATATTAATTTCACGTGGGTTAATTTTTCTGTGGCCCTTTACCCAAAAATCTAAAGCATACGAGGTATATTTATTATAAATACATGATTTGAACCTCTGTGTTAAAGATCTTGTACAGGATGAAAACTGAAATAAGACCTAATCACTGCCCTTGAAACTCTAACGGAGGAGACCTGGATAGGCACAATTTCAGACAGCGTGTTGAATTCTACACTGGAGCTCCAAACACAGCAGTGCAGAGGTATACATAAGGGAAAGATTCATTTTGGCTGAACCAATATAGAAGAAAGTCTGATTCTCAACTGAGTACACATGAGAATCACCTGCAGAACTTATACAAGTCCAAGGCCTATGTACCCCAAATCAAATCAATCTCTGGGGCTAAGACCAGAGAGCAGTATTTTTGAGTCTCCTAGGAGATTCCAACATAGAGGCTGAGAACCACTCCTCCAACATAACCATCTTCTCCTTATTTTCCCGACACTGTCTCCCCTTGTTGCTCGGCTTTAGTAGAGCGAAAGTGGAATTCTAATTCAAACCTTAGTCATCGGGGCTTAAATTAATAGGATCCAGGACCTTAATTGAAAATAAGAACAAATGACCACTGCATTCCATGCTCTTCCTTATAGCAAGAAGGTTACCTAGAAGAGAAGATTTCTGCACCAGGATTTCTTATTTGAAGTCAACAGAAAGACATTTTCTTAAGCCATTTTTTATTACACTCAAGGTATTAAGACAGGTACAAAATAACCTTATAATTAGGATACTGTATCAGTCATTAAAAAAGGAGAAAACACTACAGTATGAAGAGATTTACAAATGACTAAAATATACAAGCTGCGTCAAAATTAACAGACAACTTGAAATGGGATTGCTTTTCTTTGAGAAATGCTAACTTTTTTTAACAAAAAAGGACAAGTAAAATACAGTGTTTTAAATGTGTGTAACCATGAAAACATTAAGGATAAGCAGTCTTAACACTATTAGCATAACACTCCATTGCTTCTATTCAACAGCCTTTGCCAGCACATGCCTACTCCCCTTCCTAGCTTTAGGGAACAGTTTCCTCTAAGAAATACTAGTGCAGCATAACCCTTAAAGAATTGTTTATTTTTAAAGTTACAACCTACAGAGAAATTAACACCTTGTCAGTCTAGATATAACAGTGGCAACCATTCTTCACATGCACTTCTCAGAATAAGTCCCCTTGGCTGGTAGGATGCGGTTTATGCGATGGAACCTTCTCTCTCAGCCACGAATCCCCTTCTAAGAAATATCCCTGCTACCCTCTTCCCCCCATCCCCACACTGGCATTCACCTTTCCCACCCCAGAAAGTGCTGTTCATGGTAACCTCCGGAGAAAATGGTTTTCTTGGGTGTCCCAGCATACACACTTTTTAAAAAGCCCCTTCTGAACACCAGAGAGGATGAAAAGGAATAGTGTTCTTGGATTTTTTTAAGCCTTCACAGGGTAAAAAAGGTGTGTTCTTAAGATTTGAGTTTTGTCCTTGTGTTCTTTGTTTTTGTCTTTTCATTTAGATCCCCTGGGATATAAAGGAGAGAACATCTCCATTTTCCCAAACAAACAGGGTGAGAGAAGGGAGAGAGAAGCGAGCTGTTGACCCCCATTTGGCTCAGCTTCCTAGCCCCTCTTCTGGCTCAGGTGCTTTCCTGGGAACTAGTTATTGCTTCCATAACACTGTTTCCGGTAACACTCCACAAGGCTGTGACCTGGGCACAGTGCACCTGCAACACCACCTCTGCTCTGAAAGAACCAGCCAGCCCAAGAGCGCTCCCAGAAGAAAGACCGTCAGCCCTCAAGGTCACTGAAACTTCGTTAGTGCAGTTTAGAGTAAACGCTTAAGATTTGGCATATATTAAATGATTATTGGCACAATGTTCTCCGTACAGTTTCAGGTATAAATTTCGATGTGCACTTGGGCCCGGGCCTTGGATGGATCAGCCGATCTGCACGACTTTTAGGTCAGCAAGAATGCCGTCTCTTCCCTTTGCGCACTGGAGGGAGAGCCGCTTCATCCTGCTCTCCAAGGCCTGGCCCTCAGGGGAGCTGCTGCTTTGGCTCTTGCCACCACCACTGCTGTTGCTGAGACCCCGATTGTTGTTGGCTTTGTCACTCGTTTTATTCTCTGCCCCTTCTGCCCTGTCTCCTACAGAAACGTAAAGATTATTAAGTGAGTATTGACAATTCCAACAGTCCCTTGAGCCCAGCCAATCAGCCAGCTCAGCCCTCCAGAATCTGCCAGTGTTGCCCCACCACGCGCACCGCAGAGGGTCCTCCATCATGGAGGTGCTTACTGCTCTTAGTCCTCAAGGAGCTGCACGTATTCCTCATTTGTAGAGGAACTTTGTCATACTCATCCAACAGCTGGGAAACAGAAACTCTCCAGCATGTGCTTGTCAAGAAGACTGTTGTGATGAGAGACACAGAACCCAAGCTGTACTTTAAAGAGGCTGGTCAGGAGCAGAGCCAGGACCCCCCAGAACAGCACTTGGAAACCATCTCCGTGATCAACCCCGACAGCACATTCACAGAGACCCAGTAACGCAGCGCTGGGGGCTCCGAGACCCAGCCAAGGTCTAGAACAGTGCAGAGATCTGGCTGCAAAGGCAGCGAGTTATCCGGGACAGGCACTACTGGTGAGAGGGCTGCGACTCACCTCGTTCTACCTCACACTCAGGGGAGGAGGCCCCACTGCATTCGCTTCGAGGGCCCAACACCGGGAACATCAGCCCAAACTCTGACAGGGACACGGGGCTTGGCAGATCCAGGCTCCCAGGCCTCGCGACTGCAGGGAATCGGTCGGGCATCTCGGATGGGCTCGTTGGTCCTGAACTAAAGCTGGACACAGACTGGGTTTCTGAGTCATCTTCAGACACAAAGTTGCTGCAGTTGTCATCTTCAAAGGCCTCAGAGGCCACTAGGATGAGAGAGAACACCAGTCACACAGGGTTGGACACAAAGGAACCTAGTTCCTTAAACACCTCCAGAAGTGTTTGCTGCTGGCAGGCAGTGGGACACGGCATGGGGACGGCAGAATCCCTGCCACCGTGGGCCCCTAATAAAAGGAACATGACCCCCCAAGCCTGCTTGACCAGACAGTAAGGCAGCTGGAAGGGAAGCAGTTGCATCCATGGATATCCAGTGTCTTTACAATAAGGTTCTAGTCCCTGCCCTAGAAGTCAGTGTCACCAGACACTGTGTAACGGCGGAAGATGAACGCAGCCTCAGATCAGGGGCTTTCTCCGCTCCAGTCCCCAAACAGAACCACACGTCCGCAGCAAGAGGGCCGGCCCCTTGTAACGCATCCTGAACAAAGCCTGTCAGACTCAAGGGCTGTCTTCTTCCGGAGTAGAACAGGAGCTGCTGGAAGAAACAGCCCTGCGGGGAGTACCTGTTGGGACCTTTATCTTCCAGGTGACTTCTGATCTCATAAAGGACACACTCAGGCCCACCTAGATCACTATTTGCTGGGAAAGAACAACATTCCTTTACAGTGCTCCGTAGCTTGTGCCTCACTTATCTTGTGGACCAGCATAGCCGAGGCCCAGAGACCTGTCATTCTTGTGGTTTGAAAGCCACTTCAGCCTTTAACTGTTTCCCCTCAGCCTGCAGGTAATCCTGCTTCTTATTAGATCTTTTATCTTCTACTCCTCTTTTCTCCTCCCTCATTTTGAACACAGCCTTGTGGCATCCCCTACCATAAACGAGAGGACACCATAAGTGAGGAGTACTGTAATGCTGGGGACAGAAAATGGACTCAGATCTGAACTCAGATCCTAGCTCTACTACTTGTAGCCTTGGTCCAGTTACTTAACCTCTCTGAACTTCATGTTCCTTTCCATACACAGGTGATGAGACGAAGTATATTAAAGTACCTCACACATCATCAATGCTCAAATTATAGTTTCCTTTTCCTTTACCTTGGGCCTGGCACTTAAATGTTTGTTGACTGAATTAAAGAACACCTGAGAAAGGAGCTTGGGAAAGAGCCAACAGGGATTATTCCACAGAAAAGAAGAAGAAGGGAAGTGTGCAAAAACAGTGCCAGAAAGGTTGTAACATAGATGGAATCACGTCAAACCTCGACGTTTCCAGGTGGCCCTGGAAGCTCTCCATAGTCAGACACCAGTGAGGGCCACCGTTTGCAGAGTGCTTACTGGGTGCCAGCATTGTTTCATGTAATCCTAACCACCACTTGACACAGTAGATAGAAGCAACTATGAGCCTTGAATGATGTACTCAATCTCAGGAGTGAAAGTGTAACATTTTCCCGACTCATTTGACCACGGAATCCTGACTCTGAAGATCACAGTGTTCCACAAAACCTGGGAAGCCACCAGAAATAGCCCTCAGGCCTGCCTGACTCTCTGAGGCTCCTCCACGATGGCGAGACAGCCCTGGAAGCAGATGACACAAGCTGCGTCATCTCCTGCTTGTGCACGAGCCCCCAACTCACCAGAAACGGCGTCCGGCTCAGGCTTGCTCCCCGCCAGGTCCTCCACGGACGTGCTGCTGCCCTCGGCCCCGACGCCGCAGCCGCGGGGCCCCATGGCGCTGGAACGCCGCCGCTCGTGGATCTCGTCTGAGATCATCTCCAGGTTCTTCAGGGCTGTCTTATACTCGCCTTTCGCCAGGGCCAGTTTGGCCTGCAGGTCGTCCACGGTCTTCTTCAGTTGCTGGTCAGGAGAACGAGAGGCCCGGTAAACAAAGGCCGCCTACCGGCCTTGCGATGCTTTTGAAAGACAGGTTCAAGTACATTTTCTACCCATCACTCCACTCCAAAGACCTTCCCAAGACATGACCGAGGACCTGATTCCTCTTATCACAGCTATCCCTGCACCAGATAAA